AATTATTCCAGGAAATAGCATCAGTGCAATTTTCAAAATAACGTACATTACCATATGTTTTCCAATTATCTTATAACGTCTAAATCCCTTTATCATATCTCTCTTCCAAGCTCCAGAGCCTATTTCCCAACTGCCCATTAGAATTTGTGACCAGTACTTTAAGTAACACCTCCAATTTTTACATACACATTCCTCCAGTTGGTTTTTACTACTTCCTTTATCAGTCTTGTCCAGACTCAAAACTTCAAAATTTTATCTTTGGATCCTTTATCCTGGTGACAACCTGCTCGACCATCTAACTGAAGGTCAGTCCTGCAACTCTTCTTGCATATTTCATACTTCCTTCTATTTTCTAAAGTATCACCCCTCTAGATAAAGCCTACATCTTGGAGGGAAAAAAAAGACCTCATTCTTATTGACAGAAAAACCTCCCTAGTCTCTTTTCCTCTAGGACTCTTCCCCTACCAATGCATTCTGCATAAAGATAACTATAGAATAAATTAACAGCATACTATCCTTACTATCAAAGAAGTCACACAAGCAAGAGACAAAAAACTACTCACAACATAAATAGAAAAGCATTATATGACGGTATAAACAAAAGAATTCTAGAAAGGCAGGAGAATGACAGTGACAATTATTATAGGAGAGGTTTGAGAGGAGATTACAGCTGAATTGGAGAAAGGCACTCCAGAGAATAATCCAACATGTGAAAGTTCACATTTGGGGGGGGGAAAAAGTAATTCAGTGGCAGGAGAGAAGATAGGAGAGTAGACTAGAAATGGAGACTTGAGTCACAATGTAGGAAGTTCAATATCAAGCTAAGTAGTTTAGACTTGATCTTATCACGATGTGAAACAAACTACAATATAGGAATGTTTTAAATTATTATACATTTGCTATTTTATTTTTAATATGCAATTTTTAAAAAGAAGTAACACATGGCAAAAGTGTGGAGGAAAAGGAACCCTCCATTTTTGTTGCAAATGTAAACTGGTCTAGCTCTACGGAAAATAGCATGGAGGTTTCTCAAAATATGTCCTTACTGGTGTTTTGTCTTCATGATCTAAAAAGTGCTGAGAAAGGTATCTTTAAGATCTTCTTCTGTATTTCTGGATTTGCCTGTTAATGTCAAATAGTATATTATTTCAGCTCTACACTCTCCATTTGATTCTTTTCTGTATTCAATAGATTCCAACTTTCTGGTGTCATATGGTTTAATCTATATACTCTGTTTAATGACACAGAAAATGCTCCTCAAGAATAAGCTTTTCCATTTTTCACCAAATCTATTCTCTTACACTGTTCAAAACAACTGGGTAATTGTTTTCCGTATGCTCTTCACTTTCTGTCAGCTATCTACTTCAAGCCAAATACACCTCAATTTTTAGAGTATATTAATGAGGCTTAGTCTGACTTCCACTTATACACAGAATAGTTGCCCATATGATCAAAAGAGTTTATAGTCACAAAAACAAACAAACAAAAATTAATTTCATTATACACTCTCTGGTCACATTTCATACCTGTCTACCTGTAGTTATAAAAGGGACTGAGGAGAAAGACTCAGTCCCAAGTTAGCAGTGCCTTAAAAGGACATAAACATAGCTTTATGCCAACCATCCCGACTAATCATAGATTGCATAGACCCCTATCAGCAACACAAAGGCCTGATAACTATATTTCTGACCAATTTCCCATCTCAATACTCATTCATATGATAAGGAAGGCAATGTTAAAGTAGGTCAGCTGGGATAAACTTTTGTGGCTTAGTCCTCATTGGAAATGACATATAAACAAAGTAAGACAAAAGAAAAAGCCTAAATAAGTAGTTCCTCCTTATCTGTGGTTTCACTTTTCACAGTCTCAGTTACCTAATACACAAAGGTAAATAACAGAGCATATAGATTTCAGTAGTGAGATTTCAAGCAGTTCCTTTTCTCTTTCTCTCTTTCTTTGTGTGTGTGTGTGTGTGTGTGAGAGAGAGAGAGAGAGCACGCACACGTGTGAGCACGAGCATGTGTGCACATGCACTGGAATTCAAACACAAAGCTCTGTTCTTAGCCATTATACTACACTGCCTTCTAGAATTCTTCTATATGCAGGAAAATAAAGTATAGCAATTTTCTGCCCAAGAAAATTTCTAAAAGTTACACAAAATTGTGATCTTAAATTATATAATTCCAATTATAAGTAATATGGGATTAATTACCCCTTTAGAAATGTTAACAAGTTGAAAAAAGGCAATTTTTAAAGGTCTTCAAGTTTCATTAAATTTGCTTGGAAATAAAACATACTAAACCATCAGATGATTTTTATATCTTCAAAACTGTGAAATAAAAAAAAAGATTGGTAGATAAAACATACACAATTCATTACACTGTGGTTAAAAAAATAGAAGGTCTGTTCCATGAATATGTTCCGGTTAATCTCTTACAATAAGACTTGAGCAAAGGAATGTGACTATTCACAGCTTTATTAGGTTAGTCATTCCCTAGAGGGATCTTGCAGTTTTGAGAGACATGTTGAGAACAGTAAGGTTCACCTACATAGGCAGCTAGATTTGCTGAGTCAACACAGGCAATGAAGGTAAAAGTGCTGAGGGCCAGATAAACCCACATTCCATATTAATGCACTGTTGTCTGATCTTTGCGAGCAGGAATCATCTCTATTTTGCTCCCATAGTATTCCCATATACTATAGGACATGGCAGATGCTCAGTAAATATTTGCTAAGTGAATAAATGATACTGCACAAACTATTTCCTCTCTTGGACCTTGATTTCTCATAAAACACAAGAGTTAGATTAAATCAATATATTCACTTTCAGCTCTAAAAGCCTATACTTCTTGGAGCTAGAATGTCAGATTACATCACATAAAGTATCAGTAAATTACTCCAGGACATCTGGGTCTGAATATATCCCTAGTCATAAGGTTTCACAACATCTTACTCATTGCAGTCCCATATAAGATAAACAAAATAGATTTGCCCTGTGGAAAATGTTCAATACTGCTAAGGTAGGAAGAGACAGAAACTGGTTGATAGAAATAACATAAAATAATCTGATCATTCAGCTAAAACAGAAGAAAAGGTAATGCTTATAAAAGCAATAAAAATGGTAGTAGCAAAATTTAGCTTCCTGACATGTTCAAATAATGAGAAAAACCTGGTATTTAGTTTAAATAATCTTATTTCCTGTGAAGGCGGCACACTTATTTCTTAAAATAGTACAAAAAAGAGTTACCTTCTTTAATCAAATGTCAATTAGAAATTGCTTTCTAATTTTTACAACTTTCTCCAAAATAGAAGTGAATTATTTTTAACATATTATTTTAACATCTCAAATTAATAAAGCAACTTACTACATCACAAAACCACTAGATCATGAAGTCAGCTTTTATTAAATATATTTGAAGACTGTAATGGAATTAATCACCAAAGTATGTTCTTATTTTATTTTATTTTTTTAAAGTCCCTTATTGGCCTCCTTGGTGGCCTAGGGGTTAAGTTTCAGTGCTGTCATCTCTATGGTTTAGGTTCAACCCCCGGCCAGGGAGCTAACCCACATATGGTGCAGCAGACCTCTCCTGTCTCACTCCCTGCACCCCTTAGCAGTGTATTTCAGTGGGTCTGCCTGTTCTGCTCCCCACTCTGTCTCTGGGGAATCCTCTCATCCCTGCACCTCTGGCCTATACTCCAGTCCTTTGAAACTAAATAAATAAATAAATTTGATTTGATGTAGATTAAGTCTGATTTGAAAAAAACAAGTCCCTAATTAAAAAAAAAAGTTAAATAATTTTCAGTTCACCTCTAATTGTTAAGAGCAGAAAGTTTGGCTTCTAAAATACTTTAAACAAGCATATGGATGCTTGTTACATACAAGAAACAGTGGTAGAAACTATACAGGAATCAAAACATTATAAGGTATCAAGGCCTCAAATTTAGAACCCAATTTGGTACACACTTCTTGACAAAGTAAGTTAGTGACTTCAATAAAAACACGTTAAGAGAAATGTCATGAGACACTTTATGACTGACAATAAAAAGATAAGGAAGACCTAGGCCATTTCACCATGGACAGGGTCTAATAAGAGAAAAAGTTATAGTGATGACATTTCTATGGATTGACTTGTTCCTTATGTTTACTCTTAAATAGTCTAACCCCGCCCATAAAAACAGAGAAGGTATTATTCGACAGATATCAAAAGTTTAAAAAGCTTGAGAGCTGATTTCTCTAAAAAGAAAAGGTAAATAGGGCCTCCCCTGGTGGCGCAGCAGTTGAGCGCCAGTTTGTTCCCCAGCTGCCTAGTGGGTCCCACAAAAAAAAAAAACAAAAGAAAAGGTAAATAATTCAAGCTTGTGTTAACAATTCTTTAAAAAAAAAAAAAATAACATTCCAGATGTTTTAGATGGTGAATCTGATTCACCATCATTAAAAAAATAAAGTAATGATTATGGTTGTTTTAGACTGGAGAAACTAAAAAAGCACAAGACCCAAATATAGTGCTTAAACCTTGACTGGATCTGATTTGGAGGAAAAGGAGCTATAAAGAATACTTTTGGGAAAACAGAGGAAATTTGAGTTATGGACAGCATGTGAGACAGTGGTGAATTATTATTCATTTCTCAATAATGGTTATGGTACATAAGTTATGGTACATAATTGTACACAAAAATGTCCCTAAACTTTGGAAATAAATGTTGAGCTGCTTACTGGTGAGTGTCATAAAATCTGCAATTAACATTTGGCAGCTTTGAGAGGGAGAGAGAAAGAGCACGTGTGTGCATACATTTGGAGTAAGATAATGATAAATTCACATGAAGGATGTGATGTGTTTGTATAGTTTTCTTTCAATTTTGCTGTGGATTTGAAATTCTCAAAATAAAGATTCTTCAAAATTAAAATTCTTCAAAAACTCCCGTTTTTCAGTCAGAAAAATGTTAAGAAAGCTAAATGAACAAAGGGAAATACAGAACAAATACTGTGCTTTACATACCTTCCACATCATACCAATGTGCACCATTTGTGATCCCATCTTTGAAAGTCTCGTCTTCATCTCCTGGGCAATGGGGCGCACCAGTTTTCATTATGGGGTGGTTTGAAGCATAGGCTCTTGCCAAGTATTTAAAAACTTCATCATCTGAGGTTTTACTATAGATTCCAGTAGCCTTATGTCCTGGAGAATCATCAAAAGGATAGCTTGCTACCACTGAGCCACCATGCAGATTTCCAGAAAGAATAAACCTTTGAAAACACAAGTAAATTACATATTACTTTTAAAAAGTTTAGAAAACACCATGTATTTAAAAAGTCTACAACAGCTTTCATAAATGAACTCAGTTATACCTCTCTTGAAGACCTAGAAAACACCTCTATCAGCTGTTATAAAAAATCAATAAAAGAAAATGAAAAAAGCATCATAAATTTAACAAATTTCAGTCAAACTATTTTTATAATTCAAGTTAACCTCAAATAACTTTAAAGAATTTTTCCATGATTGAAAAAGTAGCTGAAGAACCCAATATAAATTTTTATGTATCAGGACAATCCTATTCACTGAATTCCAAATTCATGTATTAGGTTAGACAATATGAACTTTCCAATATTCAGCCATTTTTTTACTTACAAAAATGACTATTTCATACAGTTCAACCTAATGCTTGTATTTCATAACATGCAAAGTTTATAAAGTGCCTTGTATAGTTACCTATTTGCTGACTATATGAATAAGGTAAATAGCTTTCATATTTACTGTCCAAAATTTTTAAAGATAGAGAATCTAATTTAAAACAGGATGTATTTTGCCTCAAATCAGTTTCCAATACACTACATTCACATTTTCAAGAGAGAAGCCACAGTTGAGAATATTTGGGGAAGTAAGAGAGAGACTGCTTTCAGAGAAAAATACAGCACATAAAGACTAGTCCTCCATTGCACGACCATAAAGCAGTTCTCTTTCTAGGCCCAAGATTTCTGAATGAGTCATTAAAAAATAAATTGATGTAGATAGGGCTATTCCTATAAAAGATGGGAACCAATTTACAATTTGGTTAAATTTATAAATATAAAATTACTTAAAGTTTATAGTGAAAACTAAGGCAAAAACATGCTCAACTTCTATTTATACATCTTTCCCCTCATATAACAGTTCAAACTATTCATTACTATGAATAGAGATTAAACACCTTTCTCTTTGAACTCTAAACTAAATTTTTCTACTTTTTTCTGCCCTTTTGTGGTTGAAAGGAACTGACTGACAAATTCTAAAGGGGGTTGATATATAACATTTCTTTCTACATACTCAAAAGAAAATTAAACACATGGTATGTCTAATTTGAAAGATTATTTTAAGTATGATCAGTACCACCCATATCAGAGATCAAACAATGAAAATTACTTGTAACAAAGATTCTGTTCATCAAAAGACAGAACTTAGCCAATAAAAACAGTGATTAAATACTAGACTATTGAAAAATACTAGTTAAAAACTAATATAATTATAATTAGCACTCTTCCAGACACCAGAGAATGTTATTTGGCATAGCAGCAACAGCACAGCTTCAGAGCCAGGCAAATATGGCGAACAACATTTGGTCTCCCCAACCTGTCAGTTGCCAGTAATATAACATGATCAGAAGTAGTTACTCCCTGTAAAGTCATTGAACCCCAATTTCTCTCTCATCTGTAAAACTGGGATTAATGCTATCTGCTTTCCAGGTTTGTTATGAGAATTAAATAAGATAATACACATACAACATCTTCCAGCACGACTGCATTATGGCACCTACTCAACAAATGTTTGTTCCTTTGGTGAGATCCAGCATCCTACTCAGGGAATCACTGCCTTGGGGACTATCATTCCACTCCCTACTTCCATTCCAGCCCCCAGATGACAGAATGATACAGAACAAAATGTATTCTAACATGGTAACTCCACCATAACCATAATTTATTTCCTCCCACTGACTTTGGGAAAACTACAAGAAGGCAAACCAGTTCAGGCAATCCATTCAGTAACAAATGTACTTGAGTATCAAGATTCTAGGCACCAGGGGACATATCATTGAAAACACACACACACACACACCCTCAGGGCATTCACATGCTAGTACACAATATTCTAAATAAGTGAAGCATGCTACTTTAATTACTTATTTTCAATTTAAACTTTAAAATCCAAGGTGTCTACTAAATGCTGCTTTTCACTTTATTGGACAGTTCTTGCAACACATCTCAGAAATACCATTAAAATGGCCTAACTGGACATTTCCAAAAGAATGAATTATTTGAAATTTACTTGAGTGATAAAGTTCAACTAATTACTTAAAACTACAAATGCCATCTTTATAATAAGAGTTTCAAGAGAAAGTGACACCTTTCAGAGTGGCTATAACATTACTGCTTTCTGTCTTTGTGAAGCCAACTTTGTATATCAAGAAAGTACCTTTAGGGGCCTCCCTGGTGGCACAAGGGGTTAAGATGCAGCACTGTGAAGCTAGCTGCAGCCACTGCAGCCACTGCAGCACAAGTTCAATTCCGGGGCAGGGAGGTGACCCACATGGCGCAGCAGACCTCTCCTGACTTGCCCGCTGCTCCCCTCAGCAGTGTATTTCAGTATATCTGCCTGGTCTGCTCCCCACTCTGTCTCTGGTGAATCCTCTCACCCTCCACATCTCTGGCCTGCACCCTAGCTTCTGCATGCATAAATAAATAAATCTCTAAAAAATAATAATAATAAAGTACCTTTATTTGAAAGGTAGTTTATGGTTTCCATTCAAATCAATCAATTCTCTTAAGTGTTTCTCATACATGAATCCAGTATCATATATCTATCATTCCTTGCATAAGATTTAGAGTTGCTGTTAAGTATATTAAAATTTATAAATAAGGGTCTATAAATTTTATAAAATTAGCCTCTAAGTTGTTGCTCTCCAGCTAACCATATAAATGAAAACTTAAGAGAACCTGCTGTCTCACAAACTAAATTCTAAAGATTCAGGAAACTGTTGCTATATACACACATGACCCCCAAAATAATCTGTACCCACCTTCGACAATATAATGCTTTTCACAAACATACCAAATAGAGTATTTATGCATTAACCTCCTATTGAAGTCTAAGCAGGTATATTTAACTAAATAAGTGCAAAAATGGAGGTCAAATAAATTGCAAAATCTTAATCACGGAATTTAAAATCTTGTTATTTTCATAAGTACACATCTTAATTATCAATAGGAAAAAAACAACTATTGTATGAAATGTAAAGTGAAACAAAGAAAATAAACTTCTATCCTAAGCAAGAGGACATAAATCTTAAACATTTATATATGCAAAATAAAATCTATTTCTTATATAAATGAGTGAATAGCATATTAAGAAACTATCCAATTTCTTATTCGATTGTCTTCCATAGCTACAAAACAAAATGACTTACTTTGTAATATCAATTGACATACAATCAGCTTTCAAAATCCTCACAAGCTCTCCTCTTTGAATTAATTTATAATCATTAAATACTGGTAATATGAAAAAGCTAATTTAGATTAGCTTAATCTAAATTTAAATTTCAAGTTTTTAGTATAGCCTCAAGGTGACCTGTCCCAAAACAAAGTTCACTGTCATTTTTGGTCACAGTGGAACTAATAACGGAAGAGAAAAATTTAGTCACAGAATTTATACCCCTGCAAGGGTTATAATAGAGCATTTTAAACAGGTCATTTAAGCATTGCAAACGGTATGCGTGATAGATACATAATCTCAGAAAAGTTCTGACCATAACAGCTGCTGACAGTTGAGATGTTCTTTCATGTTCTAGTTCTTATACTAATGGTCAGAGGTCATGATACAATTCTCTTTAAAGGTGAAAAATCGTTCCAGAAAAGTGTATGTGAAATTAAAAATCTACAAGGGATCTTAAAGGGAGGAGTAAAGTGAAAGGTGGAAATTAAAAAGACTCTGGAATTGTCATAATACCCACAAATTTTCTAGACCTGCCACATATGACTGAAATCTTGTTAAAGAAATGATTCCAAGTTCTGCAGAGAAAGTTCTTTACTCATGATTACTTTTATCTTATCTGCCTCTCAGAAATCTTCCTCACATCAAGATGGAAATATTGACTAGCTTTACAATCCTTTTGAAAGCACAAAAATGGGGGATATGCTGGCAAAGCAGCTGTTTGAAAAAGAGAAGAGATGATGCTCACTTCGGACATGATTCCATCTGGAGTAAGTTCCCGCTTTCTTTATTCCTCTATTTTTTTTTTTGCTGAAAATCCTACCCATCTCTCAAGATTCAGTTCAAGTGCTACCTCTTCCACACAGATGATCCATATTATTGCACCCATACACATGTTGCTAGTAGGAACAATTCTTGTAAAGTTTAACTGGCTACATAAACACACCTCAGATATAATATTCTGTTGTTATATACCAATTTCTTGAGGTCCTCGTGCTTCCAATTTTTAATTTTTTAAACATCGCATTTCTTAATAACACTTAAGGTATGTGTTAAATGTGACATTAGCCACTAAGCCTTAGCCCACTAGTAAACTGCGCACATGGCATCAGAAACCCTTCAGAGAATCTAAAAAGCAGCAGCTCACAGATGAAGATTCCAGATCTGTGCAAGTTCTCCAGTCATATCCATATGCTCCTTAGCTGAGTCAGAGGTAAAGACTGGAAGAGAACCAGTTTTTGTCAAATAACCAAGAGGAAGACCCAGGGAGTGTCATTTATCGTTTCTAGGCTACAGTCTTCCTCTTCACTGACTAGGAATCAGCCTAAGTCTCAGCCACACTATGTAAATTATTTAACCACTCTGACCCTCAATTTCCTCATATGCAAAACAGGGATGTTAGTGGTGTCTGTTTCAATGCAATGCACGGGAAGCGCTTACCAAGGTGACTATAGCAACAGCATTACTGACAGCTTATCTATAAAATTAATCAACTGACTTAGGCTCTTCTTCAGGTCTCTTCCATCTCCGGCAGTCTACGGTCTATGTAAGAGTAGGTACCAGAAGGCCAGAAGGAATCTCTCCTCCAGTCAACCAGATCTCCTTACACCTCTAGAACAAACGCCAGCCTCTAGACAGCGCTTCTGGACGGTTAGCGTTCACGGGCGGCTAAGCGGCCTGGACCCTGTTCCGTTAAGGGGTGTAGCCCTTCACCTCACTACCTCCACCCACCCCCCAGGCCTGCAAGCCTTGTGGGAGCGCCCACGGAGTGCCGGACCCAGCCTCTGGCTCCCGAGCCGCACCGACTCCCGAGGACCGAGGGAGGAGGGAGGGCCACGCTCACTTGTTCCTGCGGATCCAGTCGATGAGGGCGCGCACCTCGGGCACGTCGTCCAGGGCCGGGGGCTCGCCGGTGCTGAACTGGTCCGGGAAGCTGCGGTTGAGGTCGCGGCCGCGGCTGTTGTCGCGGCCGCTGGCCCCAGGCGGGGCACTGTCGCCGAGGCCGCAGTCGCCCTCGCGGGCGCGCTCGAACCCGTCGGGGTTGAGGCTGGGCAGCAGATACACATCGGTGGAGTTGAGCAGGCGGACGAGGCGCGGGTCCCCGCGGCGGTAGCCCGCCGCCAGCTCGCGGGCCAGGTAGACGAGCACCTGGCGCGACACGGTCTCGTCGCCGTGCATGTTGCCCACCAGCTTCACCTGCGGCCGGCCGGGCAGGAGCGGCCCCGCCGCGTCGGGCCGGGCCTCGCCGTCAGGGGGCGGCGGCCCCAGGCCCGCCGTGAGCCGCAGCACCCACAGCGGCCGGCCCTCCACCGAGCTGCCGATGCTGAAGAGGCGGGCGAGGCCCGGGGGCCCCGCGGCCGCCGCCTCCCGCAGCGCCGAGCCCAGCTCCTCTTCGTGGTAGTAGCGGTCGAACTGGCCCTCGGCCGCTTCGGCGCCCGCGCTCGTCGTCGTCGTCGTCGCCTCCGCCTTCTTGATGTGCGCGGCGCGGGCCGGGCTCCACAGCAGCAGCAGCAGCAGGAGCCCCCACAGGAACCCGAGGCGCCCAGGCCGCCGCAGGGGCCGCGCGCCCCAGCCGCTCGCCATCTTCCAGCCGCGCCGCTAAGCCCGGCTCCGCTCCCGCGGCTCCGCGCTCCGGGAAGCCGGGGCCCGCCGGATCCCCTCCGCGCCTAGCAACCCCATCCCGCCCTCCGGCCCGCGCCAATCGCCGGCCGGCCTGCTGCGGCGTCACGCCGGGGGCGTGGCTGTCCTTAAAGCGGCCGAGTCGCCCCGCGCGCGCTCCCTTGCATCGCGGACCAGCTGCGGTCGCCAAGAATCCTCCCGCGCTTTCCCTCCGCCCCCTTCCCGCTTCGGCGCTGGCTCCGCGGCTGCTCCTCTCGCTCCGTTTCTTTATGGCTTTTCCCGGACGTTCTCACCGCCCTTTATTCTGAGCGGCCTTACCCGCTCCCTTCCTATCTTTGCTGCGGCGCTTCCCTGCTGCACTGTAATGCTTAGAACGGAGACTCGAGTCACAGAACTCGGAAAAACCCCAAAAGGTTCTAAAGACCGTATCTTTGAGACCCAAAGGACGCCTCAGCTCTTTCCACTTTGCACCCTGCGGACCAGAGTCGAATATTCGCCCCGAACCCAGCGCCCCGCAAGTGACTGAAGAGAGCGGGACGGGGCGCTCGAGGGGGCGGAAGGTTCGCTACCTCACAAGCAGTCCATTCCATTTTCGAGTTTCCGTGTGGAAAGGTTTCTCCTTTCTGTTCAGCGGGAATCTGCTGCTGGACTATCTGTGTGTGAGTGTATGTATTCCTCTGGTGTCTCCCCTGGTTATTTCAGGGCAACTAAAAGCCGGCGTGTGCTGGTCTCGCCCTCTGTAAGCAAATTTCATTTCATAGTTCACTTTCCCACTTCTCACACCTCTTCTGAGCAAGTTGTTTGTTTATCTGGAGCCTTCGAATGACATTTTAAAAGCAGCAGGTGTGACGTTTCTGGAAAGACTTGCTTGGCGAGTATAATTTCTGAACGCCTCAATGCTCCATCAAAGCTGGCATAATCAATGTTTTATCGTCTAGAGAAGAGGCCTATTAAACTGGTCTTTAAAGTAGACTTTAATCGCTTTAGCTTGCAGAAACACAAAACCTCACACGATCCTTTTATCAAGTGTGAAAGTCTACCCATCTAAAATCATTGCAATAACTTCTGTATTTCCTTCTTTCTGACTGAACTCTAATACGACTGATAAAGAGTTCATGCATTAAATATTTACTGAACAACTAGTGTGTGCCAGAGCTAGGCACTGGTAAGCAATTCACTCTGCCCAGCTAGAGACTGGATATAGTTTGTGGTTAAGTGCTACAGTAGAAACAGGGGAGCCCAGGCATGGGAAAATTCATTCAACCTGAAGAGGAGGAAGAAGGAAGAGAAAGTGGGGTAGGGTGAAGTGGGGGGGGTGGGGGAAGGCAGGGAATGGGATTCTGGACAGAAGGAGGGAAGGAGGCACAAGCACAGAAGTCTACAAGGCTTAAAAGCAAATACTGCACATTCTGGGAACTACATGAGCAATAGGATTACTGAGGTGAAGGAGCTCACAAGTATGGAAGAGATCTCACAGGACAGCCAAAGAAAGAGAACCAAAACCTAAAGAAGCTCAGAAGCCAGGCTCTGGGGAGCACTTGATATAGAAGGCCATGGAGAGCTACTAATGGATCTTAAGTTAATTTAGAAAACTCCCCCCTGAAAGTAACATATAAGTGGAATGGAAAACCCAAGATTTGAGACTGAGAAACCTGTAAAGAAGATACAATCCAAGAAGACAGGATGAGGCTCTGAACCCTTGAGGGCAGTGCCAGTGGAAATGGAAGAAGGAAATATTTGGACTTGAAAGATCTTTGGGAGGGAAAGTGGACTGGACCTGGTTGGGAGAGAGAAAGAGAGAATTGTAGGTTGATTTCAAGTTACAGGCTAAGCAACTTGTAGATATTTACTGGGGTGTATAGGACAGGAAAAAGTACAGAATTAAGTGAAGATGATGAGTTTAGCTAAATCACATTGATCCTGTGAATGCTGCTTCTCCATACCCCATTTGACCTAGTCTACGTCATAGGTAGCAACTGCAAGTCATCAGAAATAAAGCCTCAACCCTATACAGTGACCACTTCCTCCTCAACAACATCTCCACCCTCGTGCTTAATCATTACACTGTGCGCACTTACAATATTCCACATCAAAGAAGTTCCAGGGCATGTATTAAACTCTAATCAAATATTTCTTTTTCTACCATTGTCACTGTCTTTTGGAACCTCTTTCTACCATCTCACTCCAGCAACTTCAACTAGTGAGGCAGGCTTGTAATGTAAATAAACAAATATTAGGTCAGTGACCTCCCAATTATTCTTCCAGGCCTCCCCTAGTGCATTTGCAGTTTGTTTTCTGTTCTGAACTCTCCATCCTTAGCAGGTACATTGTGCTACTGGTTTCAAGTGAAACCCAGAGCTCCTAACTGAACTCACTGCTCACTGGAGGGGGAACCTTCAGCTAAATATCTCAAGGTGTCCTGAGATATCTTGAAGCTTGTGACAAATGTCCTTTTCCCTGTCCCACTCAAGGAAAGTCTTGTCCTTGCAAGCGAGGGAACTTGGGGAAAGCTTGAAGATAACAAGGCTTTCTGTTCACAAAAGCAGAGTGGTAATGACCTGGATTTTTAAAAAGAGGACAGAAGATGTTGGATGGCCTGCCTGATTTCAGGAACCACTTTCTTTAAAAGACTCACAATGGAAGTACTGCATAGATTATAAACTTGTAAATATCTTAATGTCTGGCATGAACACCCACAGACATACAAATTCAGTCTGACAAACATGGAACACCCATTTTAGGGAAAGGTCTGTTGTGCTGGGTGCAAGCAGATTTGAAGATGAATCAGGGATTCTCCTCTCTAAGGAAAAAGTTTTATAAGGAAAATAGAACATAGACAGGACAGGATGTCCACAGGGCCATTGCTATGTAATAGGGACTGCACTACTAACCTTTATATTGGTTGACACATTTTGTCCTCACAACAACCCTGAGATAAGTACTATTATTATTCCCAGCTCAAAAATAAAAAGACTGGGTTACAAGGTCTCATAACTGCAAGACACAGATCCAGGACTCAAACCCAAGGAGTCTGGCTTCAGAATCTGATTAATCTCTATAATAAAACTGTTTTTTGTAGTGAAAAAAAAAAAAAAAAACCCTGCTATTAGAACATAGAGGAGAAAGCTACTAACTATGGTATGAGAGAGAAACCTTCACCAATGCTGTTAGATCCTGAGCTTTGGCATCAGAACTGAGTTCAAGTTCTAGATCAACCATTTTCTAGCTATCTTAACTTGGGGAAGGGATTTAATTTTTTCTGAGAATTAAATGAGATAATACATAAAACTTAATGAAATATTTGGCATATAATAAACTTTCAGAAATACCATTATTTTTATTACTTTTGATAAAATAAGAATTCTCAGCCAGGAGAGAAAAAAATGAAGACCACTCCAGATGGAGCGAGAGACCAGCAAGCATAGAGGAACAGGGGCATGTAGTGAATGGTGACTAGAATATAAGCTATATTGGGAGGAGCCATAGGTGTAACTAGGACTAGTTGGCTATTAGTTGTAGGATAGCCAGTGATGAAAGGCAGTGGATACCATGATAAGGGGACTTTGCTGTATTCCACAGGAAATGGAAAATTTACAGAGCTGTTTATGTGGGGAGTGGTATATATTACATCTGTGTTTTAAAGAGAAAATTCCAGGGGCTGTGTGTGGGTAGACTAAAGAGTACTTACCATCCAGGCAAGAGCTGATTGTGGCAAAATTAGTGAGGACAGAAAGGAAGAGCTAAATTAGAAAGATGCTTAGGCTATTGGATTGACAAGATTTAGCAACTGCTTGGATAAGAGAGAAAAAGAAGTAAAAGATGACTTGAAAAACCAGTGAGGTGATCAATAGATGATCTTGCAATTATCCCAGACAAGTTAAGTAGGAGAAAGTCTTGCGATAAGGACTAAATATAATTGACCATTGATCCTAGTAATGCACAGTACTGATGACCTTTGTAAAGCAGATGTGATGGAATGGTGTCGGGGGAGGGTGGAGGAGGAGATCTGAATATAGTGGGCTCAAGAAAGGCTGGAAGGTGGCGCAGCGGTTGAGTGCTGGGTTGCGAAGCTGCCCGCAGCCTCTGCAGTGCCGGTTCGATCCTGGCTGCTCCCTGGCCACTGGAGGAGGGTCCCACATGGCGCGACAGACCTCTCCTGCCGCCCGCTGCTCCCCTCAGCAGTGTACTTCGGTCCTTCTGCCTGCTCTGCTCCCCGCTCTGGCTCTGGTGAATTCTCTCGCCCTCCCGTGCTTCTGACTGTACCCAGTGCTTGTATAAATAAATAAATATATGTTAAAAAAAAAAAAAAGAAAGAAAGAAAGGCTGGAAGGCAATGAAGTAAAGTTGGTGGAATGATTCTTTTGAGGAATCCTGCTCTAGAGAGGTACAAAAATAGGATAAAACTGGAGGTGGTGTAAGAATTAGGAGGAGTTTTTGTTTTGATGGGAGAAATTATAGGTTATTTGGGAATGATGCAATAATGAAGAAAATTTTGATGATGTATGAGAGGGAGGGGAGCAGTGTATGAGCAGTCAAGAAGGGGCAGGATCTCACACATCAGGGAAAGAATTGGGCTTAGGAGAGAACACAGGACTTCATCTGTTGTCACAAATGGAAAGGCAGAATACATGGGCACAGGTACAATTAAGTGAGTGGGTGAGGTTAATTGGGAGCCAGTAGATGTTCTCTAGAGGCTGATTGCTTTTATTTCTTAATGAAACAGGAAGCAAAGGTCATCAGCTGAAAGTAAGGATGTTGTAGTAAGTGTTGGAGGCTTGAGGAAGGAAGGAAAGGTATGAAATAATCCTCTCAAGAGCGGGAGAGAGAAATGGAGAGTAATGATAGTTTGCAGCCATTTACACTTAATAGGAACCAGCAGTTTTCTTTTTCTTTCTTTTTTTAAATTTTTAAATTTTATATATTTTTTACATCATTTTTCATTTTTGCACAAAGTATGCATTTTCATCTTGGTTATATTCTCCATACAATTCCCATCCCCTTTTTCTGACCCAAATCC